CTGAGATTCCAGTCCTTGAGCAAGCATAGTTTCCGCATGTGAAATCACACTGTTCCTAGCTTGAGCTACCCACGCCCAGTCACTTTCCAACACCTACAGCAAGCAGCAGCAGCAGCAGCAGTATTTAGAGGAGGTTGGAAACGTAATACCTCTGCACATTTTAATAGCCTAATTTAGATACGATCTTTGGAAGTCGTTCTCTTAAATTGATATACATGAGGTTGTCTTGTTCTGAGTATCCAACGCTTGCACATGTATTTCTTTTCCGTGTCCGAGACTCCGTCCGATGTTTGAACATCAATATCACCGCGAGTAAATAAGCTCCCATGCGTGTGCAGCTCTGCGTATGGAGGTTCCGACGGCAAAACCTCACATCACGCATTCCAGATACGTTTGCTGCGACGTACAACAAAGGCCAGCGGGCGCGCAGTCCAGATATCTGCCATGAAGACACGCATAAGCTGAGTGGGTTTGATTAGTAGGCTATTCAGACTACGGCCCACTGTGACCACGTTTCTACGACTCAGACTCGTTTCATCAGCAATTGTACAGAACATTTCGAAACACGCCATGGAAATTCAAGTTCAGACGTGATTTTGGCCGTAGTCTGAAGTGCCTATAAATGGAGTGCTATTTTTATTACTCCACTGCACTAGTGGCAGCTTCTGTGCTGTTGTGGACATAGAAACGCGGTGGTATGACCGGGGCCGGCACTCTTACTTGCTTAGCTCGTACACGCACAGTAAACAAAGTAAAGTTCACACGTTTGCGCTACCACCGGCTACTAGTATACACTCGTGTTGAAGAACACAACCAGCTTAGGAAGTTTCGTTTGTGCCAGGCCATCACCATGCCTGGTATACCAAGGGGGCAGATGCAGCGCCTAGCGGCGAGGGCGACGTGGAAAGTCTCACAAACCTCGCTAGCTGCATCCATGTTACCCTCACTCCCAGTGTTGAGTACCCAGTCGACAGTGGGTGTCGGCGCAGTACCACTGTAAAAATGTAAAACATGGACCAGCAGTGCTCACGGCTGCAAGGACAGCGCCCCGTGGCCGCTTGACTTCTCAACAGATTTCAATGTCCGCAAGAGTACTCTTGATATCACATCTCTTATTGGCGATGGTGCCATCGGGAGAATAAAGAATTCAACAACAAATCACTAGGACAGGATATGGTGATCAGAACAGTGTATTGCAGACTCACACAGAATCAGAATACAATGCTCTGGCAGTCAACCAAAAAAATTGAGGGAAGGCGATATATACGGTGACTCAGCTGTGCATAATTATCCGGATAGGCGAGGGAACCAGAAAAGCGAGGTCTGATTCGGATAAAAGAGGACCAGATAAGCGAGGTCTGATTCGGATAAAAGAGGACCAGATAAGCGAGGTCTGATTCGGATAAAAGAGGACCAGATAAGCGAGGTCTGGCTGTACTCTACTCTAGTAGATGAAAATAAGAACTAGTACTAATAAGAACGGCCTTTTGCGACTGCGAGGTTGACCCTCCCCCAGTTCTTCAGCACCCAACAGTACTATATCCCCAGAGTATCCCCAGAGTATCCAGATGCAAAGCATTTGCAAAATGACAGAAACGAACAAAAGACCTACCTCAATACCTGAGAGATCCACACCTTGAGATAAGTAATCTAAAGTTCAAAATCGGGTGGCGTACATACAGGCAAACACACACGCACACACATCCGCACACACATGCACACAGGCGCGCACAAACACACACATACACACACACACACGCAAACACCGAATACACACAAACACAAACGCAAACACACACACACACACACACACACACACACACACACACACACACACACACACACACACACAGGTGGACGGACGGACAGATGGAAAAAGTCATAGAGTTACAGCATGAACAAATGTGAATGAAGAATAGAGACTTTAGCATGACAATGTACAGTGAATGTTGAATAAGCAGGTTCATGCACAGCACATTGCCCAAGACTGCTCGACTGTAACTGGGTTTATTGTACATGATTGTGTACATCTATACTCAGGTGATGGCAAACTTCCATATCACATGACACAGCACTCACACTTGACACATCCTGGATGCGCTATGGCACGCAATACATTTAGAAAACACAGCACCCCATCAAGAAAGTGAACGACACCACACACCCAGACCATGCATCAAATGGCCGACATATACATGTATATGTATGTTGTACCCAAGAGTTTGCAACTCAACATGGGGGTATGTTCTTTTGCTCTGAAGTCGCATCATCACCATGTCACACACATACCTAGCTCACTGAGACTCTGTGCAGCCTTGGTTAGTTCACGCACACCTCCCTTCAGCTGAGCACGCAACTTCTTGCGCAAGGACAATACACGAATGAGGCGACGAAGTAACTCACACACCGTCTGCAAGCAGAAGAAGAGAAAAGGAAGGAAAGACAGAGAGACCGACAATGCTGCACCTAACCGCCAATACAGAGTGCCAGTGTAGAGCTTGCAATTCAATTTGGTTTGTCTATCACGGTGTCTCTTATGTGACTGTGTAGTGTGGAGTGCACACACGTCACATGCACACACGCGCGCGCGCGCGGGCACACACACACACAACAACAACATCATCACCACCATCACCACCACCAACAGCAAACATAGTAAGAGTACTGGCAGATCTGTAACAGCTCACTCACTTGAAGACGAGATAACTGAGTTGTGCGTGAAATTATCTTGCTATGAGGCTCGGCGATTTTACTGCGAATTCTACAGAAGAGACAGAAGACAACGACAGCAACCGAAGACAATCAAAAAGACAACCAGAGACTACCACAGGCACACAGATTGAGACGAATGAACTTAAAATTGGCAACTCGGTGCCAACAGTCAAGAGGGAAACGTAGCCAAAAGAAATTTAATCGAAGAAATTGAAGTAATTTTTTTCCACTGTTGGCTAATTGGTCATCTATGCGTATTGGGGTGTCCAGTACTACAGGATTCGTGCCACATTCCGGTTTATGGTTGTCGTGGTCAGGAGCACTGTTCTCAAGACTGTGAGTGCGTCCGATTAAGCACTTGAATCGATTCATGAATGGAATCTCACCGTTCGATTTCTTGTCATGAGCCCTGGAATCCATTCGGAACCCATTCACTGTATTCACATGGGGTGATGTGAATAGCCAGGGGCGATTCATGAATGGATTCATGAATCGATTCGCGTGCATAATCGAACGCACTCCGTGTGTCCCTGCCTTGTAACATGCTGTCAATCGTCAAACATGCTAACCTATTCATCCAGGCTTACATATAGCAATTTGCCACACTATACAGGTACTATTTCCTTGGAAACTGTCAAAATGTTGAGCGTGAAGTGTGTCCTACTTCGAACTATAATCGTACATGTTCAGTACTGGTGGTTGTTATTCGCAATCAGCTCAAACTCAACACAGAGTTGCTAGGCATGCACAAGGAGCTAAAATGACATGGAAGCTAGTTGCAGCAAGTGAAATGCCAGGAGAGGATCAGCACTGTACCACAGTAGAATACAGTTTAAAGGTTTTTATTAGCACGGATATGCTACTCCGCAGTGCTGACTTGTTTAAAACAAGGAGAGGATTTCACTTGCCACAGCTCCTGTACTGGACTAGCAGAATAGCACAAGAGAGCTGGCAGCTGGCAGCACGGTTCGGGATATGCATGGTGCAGACTGTGCGTTTTCAGCCCCGCTCATGCAGCAACTTTTGGTCGCACACATGATCAGTCATGTGATGAGCCCCGTCAGCCTGTCATACTTGCCCGACCACACATGCGCGTGCACACACACCTTTGACCTTTGACCTTTGACGCCCATCGCCGGAGGCGATGATAGCAATGCTACGGCAGAAGCCATAGCAACTTGTGCTGGGATTACACCATTCAACAGCTTGCAAGGCTGAAGAATTGACCGTCACTATTCAGCCTGGTCTACACCATACAGCTATTTGGAGTGACATTTTCTGGCCAGTGAATCCCTTTTTTGGTCTTTTTCATTTTTCATTTTTTTTCCGCACACACATCACACCACATACTCCGGCATGCACTGGCTGTTGGTAACCACCCAGGAGAATGAAAGAAAAGTCAGGAAGAGTCTGAGAAAGAGAAGAAAGACGTGTGTGACCATAATCGTACACACACACACACACACACACACAGATTTAGAGCGCTGTGGACCATGGCTGGCACAGGCACTACTGTAAAACACCTTTTGAATAGCTGTGTGACTAACTTACCGTTGCACACCAGCCTGTAGAGATTCTATTCTTGTCTGTACCATGTGAAGTACTCCTGAAATACACAAACACACACACACACACATACACACACACACACAAACACAAACACACAAAAGCACGCACATGCATGCATGCATGCCCGCACACACATACACACACGTACGCACATACAATGAACCCACATTGCCCGTCTAAAAGAAGGGTGCAGCAACTCAGAGTGGCACGCTAGCTGAGATCTCAGATTGAAGAAAACACACTTTGATGTTCCTCTTGATAGCTACAGTCAAACCTCGTTAGGATGAACACTGATAAGGCAAACTTTCCATTACTAGTAAAACGAACTAGGGCCAATCTTATGGTTGGCCAGGCATCAAATCAAGTTAAATTTATACGTTTACGATGAACTCCTGTGCGGTGAACTTTCGCGAAGACGAACTATTTCAAGTGTGATTTGAACAAAATCAGCGCGTAGTATGAACTTTCGGACCAAGCGCGCGTGCGCTGGCTGTCTTTTTTCTTTCCTTTTCCAGGGAGTAGTAAAACCGGTGTTTTACTACTCCCTGGTCGAGGCATACATTGTACCAAGAGTATACAACCCCCCAAGAGAGTGCAACTCATGACACCCTTTCTATGGGGTTCGCCGACGGCGAAAACTCACATCACGTGGTGCAGTGTCGCAGTTGCACGTTTCCAGCCCGTTTTTAGCGAGCAGTTGAGTAATTAAAAAGCACTGTCTGACAGAAACTCACTGCGCATATGCAAATCCCCTGCATGATCATCGCCGATATTCGAATTGCGCGCATGCTATCCTTCGTGTGTACGTCGTACGATACGTACTGAGACACGTGATGTGAGTTTTCGCCGTCGGAGACCCCATATGCAGAGTTGCACACTCTTGGGGATTATAATTATACTCTTGATTGTACGTACAGTAGATCTATTTAGTGACATTTTTTCTTCTTCTTTTTTTTTCCGACCATTTCACCTGCCATAGTTATGCCCTGATCATGCAAGCTCATGCATGCGTGTTTCACAGCATAGTAAAAAACGAGTAGACAAAAAAATGTAGTGACATACTACAGTCGCCGGCAAAAAAATCCAATCAATGCTATGCTAGCTACTGGTAGCTGTGCACTGACCATGGGCAACATGCACTGAACATGGGCAACATGCACTGACCATGGGCAACATGCACTGACCATGGGCAACATGCACTGAACATGGGTAACATGCACTGACCATGGGTAACATGCACTGACCATGGGTAACATGCACTGACCATGGGTAACATGCACTGACCATGGGCAATGCACTGAACATGGGTAACATGCACTGACCATGGGTAACATGCACTGACCATGGGCAATGCACTGAACATGGGTAACATGCACTGACCATGGGCAACATGCACTGACCATGGGCAACATGCACTGACCATGGGCAATGCACTGAACATGGGTAACATGCACTGACCATGGGCAATGCACTGAACATGGGTAACATGCACTGACCATGGGTAACATGCACTGACCATGGGTAACATGCACTGACCATGGGTAACATGCACTGACCATGGGCAATGCACTGACCATGGGCAATGCACTCACCATGGGCAATGCACTGACCATGGGCAATGCACTGAACATGGGCAATGCACTGAACATGGGCAATGCACTGAACATGGGCAATGCACTGAACATGGGCAATATGCTCTGCCATTGCTAGTGCTGTACAGCACTGTAGGGCACCGAAGAACTGGGGGGGGGGGGGGGGGGGGGGGGGGGTCAGGGTTCCAGCCTAGCCCGTTTTTATTTTTAGCAAACACAGCGGTTTCGTTCTTATTCGATGGTACAGTCTTACATGTACATGTGTGCAGAGTTATACTTCTGAGTGTACATTATAGTGTACATTATAGTTAGGGGTCAAAGGGGTGTACCGGTTACCCGGGTACCCGCCCGATAATCTCAGGTACCGTTAGTAAAAGGGTACCCGTTTGGATTTTGATGAACCAGTCAGTATGGAGCAACACTGCAGGGATCGTGTATTCCAGGCGGGAGTCAATTATTTACAACTCCACGCTGGATGTCTGCATTGTTGTTGCATTTTCGCACCTAGTAGATCTACCTCTGCGACTATCAGACACCAATCAATTTGCGAATCACATTGTGATATCAAAATACAACCCGAGAACAGATAGATTATAGAGTTGGTGGACAAGCCGTTGATTATTCACTCTCATTGTAATATCAAAAGTATTCTTTCTAGACCAAAGAGTGGTATATTTGATAACATTTAATAACGATAGAAATTTTTTTTTTTTTACGATACTTCTCCAGACGTTTCGTTGTTCTGAACAACATCGTCAGTGGATAAAGAAAGATAGATTATATCTTGATTTATGCGAAAATTGCACAAAAAAAAACATGGCTGCTAAAGGGTACCCGTTAACCCACCCGTTAAGAAAATTACCCGTTCGTTAGTTAAAGGTACACCCGTTTGACCCCTAATTATAGTGTACATTATGGTTTCCCTTCTTATCTGCAAACAATCCAGCCTAGACCGTTCTTAAAAATTGGTGAAATTCTAGCCTGGCCGTTCTTCGGCGCCCGACAGTACTGTAGCCTAGTGTGTGGCTAGTAGTGGCACGGTATATGCTGCCCTGCTGCCAGGCCTGCTGCATACACTCAGTACAGTGCTCGACCCGACTGCATGCAGCGCAGGCAGAGTGCAGCGCAGACTGTTCAGTGCCGTGCTGGTACTGACGGTCTGTAACTGCATGCATGCCCCATGCCACCATGCCACCATGAACACATACCATACCACTGTATCCATGACATTGGCCGGATTTTTGTGGCGACAATTGTACATGTAGTACATCCGTCCTTTCCCGGGCCGTTACGGTTCAGCGTAGACTGTCCGCATCGTTGATCGCGGCAGGCGAAGGCGAGTTCTATTCCGTTGGTTTTGCAACAACGACGTTGTCGCTCTGCCAGTGTTCGAGGTGAGTCGTGAAGTGAGCTGTGAGGAGATTTGTGAAGTGTTTTGTGAAGTATGAAACTCAGATGTTGAGCCAATAATAAAATGTAGAAAGGAAAGGGACTTTTTAAAAATAAGATGTGTTGGAGCTAGGTGTCAGGTCATCGAATGTCTCAGTACTCTGAGGTGTCAGGTCATTGAATGTCTCAGTACTCTGAGGTGTCAGGTCATCGAATGTCTCAGTACTCTGTCAATTTTGTGCCTACAGTAGTGTACTGTAAAGTGAGAAACTTTCGCTAGAGATTAAATTTCGCTATTTTCACGACCATCACACATTCGCGAAAATAAATCGCCGCAAACCTTTCCGTACATTGATTGTAGAGTTTGTAGACAGTACAAGATCCGACTGAAGAGATAGAATCGCCACCACAGTTTTTCATCGTGAACCAGCCCAATTTATGAAAACGCAAACCATTGATGGTATACGGAGGCAGAGTCGCAAACCATTGATGGTATACGGAGGCACGGTCACAAACCATTGATGGTATACGGAGGCACGGTCACAAACCATTGATGGTATACGGAGGCAGGGTCACAAACCATTGATGGTATACAGAGGCACGAGCACAAACCATTGCACATTGTACTTACCTGTTTCTGGCTTATGCTCAGAATAAATGCTTCCCATGTACCACAGCATGCACCTTCACATAAATACAATCCATACGGTACGCATATCGATCTTTTTTTGTCAGATCCGGATAAGAAGAACTCCCGATAAGACAAACAGACTGGCTCAGTTCATTGAAGTTCGTCCTAACGAGGTTTGACTGTAATCATGAGGGAGAAAACTGAACAGGGGACGGGTACCATTCGAGATGTTATCGAAGTAGCAGTGTGTGTTTGCCCTATTGACTGTGATGCAGTCTGCCCAGTGTTGACTCCGAGACCCACGGTCGGACGAGCTGCCCAGGCCTCACCACCACTGCCGTTTCTGTGCAGCCTTCTCTATACATACACACCATGTACACTGTATATGTGCACACTCACATGTCTGAAGGTTTGTGGGTTTTCAATAAAAAAAATTAAAAAATAAACCAGTCCTTGTGTTCACCATCATGTCCACCAGAACGCCAGTGAAATCTGCTGAGTGCAATGCAAGCAGTTCAAACGCTGCCAAGGACGCAGAAGGAGAGGAAGAGGCGACCGGCTCACCAGAGTGTCCACCGCCCAACGGCGAGTGCACAGCAGTAGCAGCACCAGAAACATAACATGTCGCGGGTCTACGGTTCGTATGCTTTGGAATAGAGCAATCATGTCCGTGCTTACATCATTGCGGCTGACTGGACAGGAAGCGAAGGCATCCGCTCCGGCAGTAGAATCACAACGTAAACATACCCCGCGTGCAGACGAGCAAATGATTCCCAGGAAAACGCCAATGATGTTTATCGCCAGAGACAAAATGCCACACGGGCGTGCTGACTTTCGCCGGTACATGTATGAAAGCGAGTGCCACGTCATCGAGCCATTGCAGCCGCACACTGTTGCCATGAAGAAGGAGGAGGAGCACTGGGTGAACTTCAATCACTCCTTGTGCACTTGGGGCAGTGGCAACTGGCCAAACCAAAAATGCGGATGACCGTATGCTGTATAAGCCCGGTCCCAATCCATGCCGGACTGCTGAACAATTCTGGACTGAAATGGTCCGAAGTAGAACTTGGTTGAAGGCAATTCATTGAAATCTTACACTCCCGGTCAATGAGGGTGGAGTTCGAGGTTTTCAGTGTTTTGATATCCGTCGGCGGGCAGTCACCCATGATCAGTTCTAGAAGTTCCTGCAGCCTAAGACACATGTAGCTGACATCAGTTGTTCGGACCACAGGTAGGTCAGGTCTGAGCACGGATACGTCTTCGAAATGAAAGGCATAGCTACATTGGTCTACGTCCCCGATAGGCTAGAAGAGAACGACTTTGTCCTGGTGTTCGGGCGAAGTCAGTTGCGGTGGTGCGTTGGTCCTCAAACAGACAATATACAGGTCGTCAGATAAAGAGCAAGAAAAGGTTGTCATCACAGATGACAAGGGCTACAGAAATGCATAAGCATGAGCATGCACACAGGCACACACCCAGGCAATATGCAGATATGTACATGGTTGTGCTCAATCTGCGGACACACTCCTTCATCTCTTGTACAGTGCTGCTCAACGAAATCCAGTCGCGCCACTCAAGTTTGCGCCTTGCATCATCCCGCAGCCCAGTGTTCGCAGGTGTATGGCTACACAACGCCCGGCGTGCACTTGAGTGACGCGACTGGATTTCAGTGAGCAGTACTGTAGGATCATGAGTGTAGCATAGCAGAGAGGCAACCGGTGACACACATGTGCACTGCCCATTTGCCAGGCTTACCTTCTAGCTTCTCAATGCCAGTAGCTTGAGAGAGAAGATCCTCATGATGTGACACCACCTGCACGCACCGGGTACCGGTATTAACACATACGCACATGTACACACAAACATGCACGCACACACACGCACGCACGCACGCACACACACACACACACACACACACGCCCACACACACAAAAGAACGACGGGTACAAGGCAATTAAACAGAAGGACATGCGGCGAGCACGTGTGGAGAATACTCTAGAGAATTGAAAAATAAAAACACACAACCAACAGTAACGGTTTCAGAATATCAAGTCACATTTCAGATTTACACTGCAGGTGCAATGAAAATCTAAACAATTTCCTTGCAAAATCCCTTTCGCTGAACATTGTAGGACATAGTTGAAGTAACTACCACCACCACCACCAGATACAACAAGGCAGTGATGCCATGAAGACCACGGTACATGTGCAGATCTGCCTTCCAAAAATCAAAACTCCATCTAAGCTTCTGATAATGAACGAAGAAAGGTAGAGAACATATTAGCAAACAAGTGCAAACAAATCACACGCTATGCTGACATGGCGGCACTGCAGTGCAGGTGAAAAAATGATGAGAGTGATGAAGACTAGCGCCTGAAACTGGCTATAAGAACCGCATGTACGGTGGAATAAGGGCGGCAAAACACACCTCGAGAAATGGCGGCAAAATACTAAATGCACGCCTGCCTGTACACATTCTCTAAGCTGCAATGTTACAGTTGGCACAGAGCTATACACCTCTCACCACCGCCACCAAAGACACCAGCACCAGCGCCAAAACCACCAGCAATAGCACCACAACCAGCAACAGCACCACAACCAGCAACAGCACCACAACCAGCACCAGCAACAGCACCACAACCAGCACCAGCAACAGCACCACAACCAGCACCAGCACCACCACAAGCACAAGCACCACTATTAGTTTGCAATTGGGCTATGGATGTCTAGTGATATCTGATACACGTATGATCTTAGCAAGAGTGGCAGTGTTTCTTGCCGCACCATGTCACCTTTTTCAATGAACTGGACTGTTCCAGGTCAGACATGAAAATCACAGCTGGGGTGCCGTTTCTTTCTTCACTCTTGTGCATACCCATGTAAGGTGTGAATGGTGTACATTATAGTACCTACAGTGGCCAATCTCAGTACAAGGTACTGATAACTAATTCCAATACAATTACACCAGGATCAACTTCACCCGCACTTTAGCTGCTACCTTCTCTTCATGGTGCCAGATTCTGCAAGGCTTTCACCGTGGAATGCTCAGGGTATAAAGATGTTCTTCATCAGCTTGCACACTATCATCATCACTTCACTAAATCCAGAGATCGAGAATTGCTATGTGGTATCACTACAATATAGGAACCTGTTTGAATATGGCAAGCATACAGTGCGACAGGATAGGTTTGCTGTAATCCATAGTCGGACAGATGAAGCCGAAGGATGAGACAACACGCTGTTCACAGTGTAAGTCAATGTAACTGTATGTGTAAGTCAATGTAACTGTATGTGCTCCACTAACACTACACTGTACTTTATAAGCAGAAATATTCGTCTGGAATTTAATTTCGTCTTTTTCGTCCAAGGAGCTTTTGGACTAAATTAAATGCCGGACTAATGTCGATTTGTCCAGCTTTTCAATGCACTCTTATGATCCATGGACGAAATTTACAACCGGACGAACTCCCTTTCTTTGGAGTTGGACGAAATTATTGACCGACGAAGTTTTCTGCCTGTACAGTAGTTTGTAAATGCCCCCCCCCCCCCCACACACACACACCTACAGTGCACATACGCACTACAACACATGCATACAAACCTCCACATGCTCGTACACACACACACACACACACACACACACACACACACACACCACACACACACACGCGCACGCACGCACACACACACACACACACACACACACACACACACACACACACACGCACGCACACACTCGTACACAAACCGTGCATGCGCACGGCCGGCTGGATAGACTGAGCTACCGGTATGATTCACAACTCCAAAATGCACAGAACAGAGATAACATACCTGCTGATTTAGGTCGCGATCAAGCAACGCCACACTAGAGGCAATGTGCTGCAATGTCTGTGCCACTTGTTCACTTTCAATAATCGTATTCGAGTATCGCTGTACGTCAAACTCGTCCTCCAGGAAAGGATGACAACGCTCTGAACAGCAACATATAGCAATAGTGTGTGTGTGTGTGCACAAACAAGAAAACATCTGTTGGTGCGTGGCTTTTAGACTATACACAACACATACTAATTACCGCCTATGTCTTGCTACTACTGTACCAGTACTAGCAAGAGTATGGAAGCTCCCAAGAGTGTGCAACTCCTGATACTCTTTCTATGAGGTTCACCGACGACGAAAACTCACACCACGTGGTGTGGTGCTCCAGTTGTGCGTTTCCAGCCCGTTTTTAGCGAGCAGCGGAGTAATAAAAAAATGCACTCTCTGACAGAAACTCACTACGCGTATGCAACTCGCCAACATGATCATGGCAGATATCAAGAGTGCATGTACAGTCGTCCCTCTTTAATCCAGCACTTTATAAACCAGCATAATTGTCAGCAACCAAAATGTCCTTTCCATGCACATTGCAGCAGAAAATCAGATTTCCTAATCCAGCACCCTGCCTAATCCAGCACCCTCCCTAATCCAGCACCCTGCCTAATCCAGCACCCTGCCTAATCCAGCACCCTGCCTAATCTAACAGAATTTCCGTAGCACAAATGGTGCTGGATTATAAAGGGACCACTATACTCTTGGTGCTACAGTACACCATGGTACACGTAGTAACTACATGACTGTCCACTCCAGTGCAGCTATATAGCGGTAGATTCACAGTGACGACTCTTTCCGACAGGCTGATGCTATTATGCCAGAGCCAATACAGTAATTTCATCGAGAGAATATGACTGTAAAGAAATTATCTACATGCCAGAATGAAAGTCACTTCGTTCATCGTTCACCCTCCCCTATCCCCACCAAACCCACCCACACATCAACATACATGTACACTCAGTAAGCCAGCATTGCCGCTGTTTCCCCCAAATAGCTGTGCAAATAGCACGTACTATTGTGTTTCAGTGTTGCATGTGATTTGAATAACGCTACAGAAATAAATAAAATTCAAAATTGAAATATCAAGTGAGCTACACACCATCAGAGCTGACGAGTTCCAGGACGGACGGCTCATTGCCGTCAGCTTCCATCATTACGGAGAATCCAACGAGGAAGCTTCAGACGTGTATTTTCAACTCTTTGTCCCTCTTCTTTCTCTCTCAAACTCAAAGAACTGAAAGAAGTCGAAGAGCTACGAAGACACACTTCAAATCACTCGAGAAATACTTATGACTCTACATGACGTTGTGAGTACAGGATTCTGCGGCTGCAACGTCGTTTCCATGGCGAGAAATAATGGCGTTGGGTCGCTTTCAACACAAAAAGACTTGCGAACACCACACACACTCGATCGAGTCATACAAACACAAAACGTTATTTTGAAAAGTGTAGACAAGTACATGACAGTACAAGGCAGCTGTACCAACAAGTAAAAAGATTTCAAGAGATCCTGCTCTTGTCGTTTGTTTGTTCATGGACAAGCTTTCTGAGCAGTGTGCGATCAACCAGAACGAACCCTCGATAAGGCCACTGGCAGGGTGTCCGTCTACCTGCCTATGTACAGTATGAGGCAGTAGCCTTTCTCGGTGCGAACTGCGGTGAGTGTGTCCGCATTTCTCGTAGGAACCCGTTGAATGTGTTCGTCCGAATATTTCCTGACGTCGACAATCTTTTTGTTAGTCTGTGAGCTACTGTGATGTCCTCGCTGGTGGAGAAAGGCGCAAGGGTGGCGGGCATCTCCAGCAGAGATGTTGCCACTACGGCTGGCCGCCTCGCTGTGTCTTACGTGTGGAGACGGACTTGCTTTGGCTTGTTCTCGTTGGCCATGGGCTCAGTGGGGTTCTCTTACATTTGGAGAAGTGCTATGCTGTACAAGAATCGCCGCTTGCATCGTTACTATGGTCAAGAAGCATCACGGGCCCGTGATGCGCTACGGGAAGCTTTAGCAGATGAGGAATGGACAGATGAAGATGAGGAGCTTGTGGACTTGACTGTGGAGGAGCTGCTTGAGAAACTGCGCAGTAAAGAGATCTCCTCGGTAAGGGTTGTGCGTGTGTACATGCGCAAAGCCCTGGAGTGCAGTGCACGTGCCAACATCAACTGTGTGACGCAGCCTATACCCGGTGCCCTGGAGCATGCTGCACGCTGCGACGAGCTGCTCGAGTCTGGACAAACGGCGAGTTTACTGCACGGCTTGCCGGTGAGTATCAAGGAGTGCGTCAACGTGGCCGGCACCCGCTCACACTGGGGTGTGGCGTCCCAGTGCGGTGACATCATCGCAGAGGACTGTGTGCTGATACAGGTATTGAAGAGCCACGGCGCCGTGCCGTTCGTCAAGACCAACGTGCCGCAGACCATGTTCAGCTTTGAGTGCTCCAACCCGGTGTACGGCGCCACGCTGAACCCGCACGATCCCAGCCGCGGTCCTGGCGGGTCCAGTGGTGGTGAGGCGGCACTGATGTCGCTCGGCGGCTCTCTACTGGGCATTGGTACGGACATAGCCGGTAGCACGCGCATCCCGGCGGCATTCAGCGGCGTGGTTGGCTTCAAGCCCACCATGGGACGTATCAGCGGCAAGGGCAACGGCTCACCGGTACCGGGTATCGTCGGCGTGGCGCGCACGCACGGCCCACAGGCACAGCACGTGGCCGGCTGCCGACTCCTCATGCAGGCACTGTGCTGCGAGCTGGCCTGGCGGCTGGATCCCACTCTGCCGCCCGTGCCTTTCTTAGCGGAGCAGTGCACGCAGCGGCGGACGCTAAGGATTGGTTACTACGACGACGATGGCTTCTTTCCCACCACGCCGGCGTACAAGCGCGCTGTGCAGGAGGCACGCACGGCGTTGGAATCTCGCGGCCATGAGCTGGTGGCATTTCAGCCGCCCAACGTCCAGCGTGCTATTGAGCTATATTATAGCCTGGTGGGGGCAGACGGTGGTGCGGTGCTGCGCAAAGCTCTGAGGCATGACGTGCTGGATGTTTCCATGCGCTACCTCGTGCGTCTGGCCGGCTTCTCTCGCGTCCTTCTCAACCTGCTGCGGCCGGTGATCAGGTTCCTGTGGCCCCGTAGCGGGCACTCACTATGCCAGGTGTACCCGCGACAAGCCGAGCAGCTGTGGTCACTGCTCGCGGAGCGTCAAACGTACCTCAGCACGTTCAGCGAGGCGTGGCGACTGAAACAGCTGGATGGCATAATCTGCCCGGCACACGCCATGGGCCCACCACCACTGGGCAAGTGTGCTGAGATGACCTGCTCATTCTCGTACACTATGCTTTTCAACCTCCTAGACTATCCTGCTGGCATTGTGCCAGTTACCAAGGTAACGACGTTGGATGAGCTGGCATTGCGGGATCACCCGCAGAACAACTACTGGGATGCGCTGGTGGCCAAACTGTCCGTAGGCACGTCGGGACTGCCCGTCGCTGTGCAGTGCGCTACCATGCCATGGCAGGACGAGACGTGCCTCTACCTGATGCAGGAGCTTGAGACGGCTATCGCTGCCAACACAACATCAACCACAGCAGCAGCAACCAGCAAAGCGTAACGCCTGCTCTTCCTTGCTGCGAGCGGAGCTGGAAGCAGCCATGACAGGCGTGGACGTGCAACACGTGGCCAAGGCTTACAGTCATATTCTTGCCGTTGTTGGAACAGTAGAAGACCGTGCGGCGTGCACGTGAACTGGAACCAGCAGAGCGCTATCCACTCAGTACATGTACTGCCTTGTGCACTGTGTTCCTAGTATCTACACTGGTAAGTGCAGCATACACTGCAGCATACACTGCAGCATACACTGCAGCATACACTGCAGCATACACTGCAGCATACACTGCAGCACACAATGCAGCATACACTGCAGCATACAATGCAGCATACAATGCAGCATACACTGCAGCACACTACAGCCTGATCCCCTGCCATCTTGTGAAGGTATTTGCGGGGACCATATTCTTGATAAAGACTGTCGAGTCGTAACAAACTCACACACGCCTATCTTCAGAGCTCTACCTGTACACGTGCTGCATGTCACAGGTATGTCATGCTGATGGCAGACATACGGTATGCTGCTCCTGGCCATTCCTGGCATTGGGTCACTCTGTGTGTGTGTGTGTGTGTGCGACAGTGTAACACACTTCACATTCAGACTAGCCTATACTGCCGCCACCGTGACCGCTATGCGTAGTTTCAGTCTTTCACTGCCACCGTCGCGGCTATGCATAGTTTGCATCTAAACTGCAGTATTGCTGCTGAAGAATGTGCGGAGGTGTGCACTGTGCTGTGCTGTGCTGTCTGGTTTCATGACCGGCATCTAGCCATGCTGTTCTAGACTAAGCATGCAAATCTACCCATGCACTAGTAGCTGTTTCACGTGCAGTTTATACTGTATGCCTAGAGCATTGGAATTGCTCTCGTCTCTCTTTTGGTATTTCCCGTACCGTTTGCACTCACGACCTACGAATTGCAGCCAGCACACTTCAACGAGTCATTCAGCACTTGCTTATTGTATTAATGATGCAGCACGTTCGGTGTCATAGCAGCGCTGTGGTTGCTGCTGCACAGAGATTAGCCGGTGTCACTGACCACAGTAGAGACAGATAGAGAGCACTAGTAGTCTGCATCCATGCCGATATTTCTTGGCAGTTGTATCATGCAACAAATTAGGGTGATTGCGAGTTGTGCTTTTCTTATTAAGTTTGTTTTGGCTACTGGTTCTTTTATATTACTGCCGTGAGTTTAAACTGCACTATTAATGTTTGCAGCAGTTGCTGGACTTCCCGACTTGTCATGCAGCTTGTTCAACGTATTCTATGCTTCTATCTCAATTTTAATGTTCTCAGCCAAGGCATGGCACCATTGTGTATCTCCCCCCCCCCCCCTCACTACCTTCTTGATACTATTATGCTCCTATAACGCCTTTGATCTGTGTCAACCTTCAGCTGCTGGATTCAGTTTGATGTTTCTGTCCTTGTCCCCTTTTCTTTACATGGCTTTATCACGAATGGCTCCTAGCTTGACAAGCACATGCGGATAGAAATGTAACTTGTTCTCTGCATCTGCTGCCTATGTGTGCGTGCCCGTGATCGTGTTCCGCTGCCTGCGGTAGCTGGAATTAAAATCCTGGCAGTGTTCAGATGAGCTAGTGAGTCGTAGCAGCCCTGTAGGAGGACCCCATAGCCCAGCTACAGTCATTCGAGCATGCACGCTCGTCGCTCTGACCTGGCCAGGTGTCATGTGCTTATCTACAGTGCTGGCAACTGAAATCCGACCCCTGAGCGGTGCGCTCACATCGCAAAGACCCAACATGGGATTGTAAAACCACGAGATAGAGACCGCTAGAATGTGAACGCACCGCTCAGGGGTCGGATTTCAGTTTCCAGCACTGTACTATAGCCTGTTTTATTCGCCCCCATGGCTGCATGACTGCATGGCTGCATGGCTGTATGAGTGACGCAGTGCCATAGTCCAGTGCACAGCGTGATGATGTTCCTACTTCATAGTGCTAAGACTCATGGTGGCCGTGCAGCGCCCAGCACTGTTCATATTCACGGAGGCCGAGTTTCACTGGCTGGCAGAACTGTGCATGCAGGATAGTCTACTGCAGCTGCAGCACAATTCCAAACCTCTTTGTCATTGCGGCAGTGGCAAATAACTGGTGCTATTCCAGCACAATTAAAATTGTTTTCTGATAATGGCTCCTGGCCGAAAATTTGATTGAAATTTGCAGTGAGGAGACCACTTGAATTAAAGATGGTGTGTTCAGAAAACACCGCGGAATATTGCAGAAAAGAGAGAAAAACTGCTTTTCCTGGAGACTTTCGATGTGTTTTCACAGCCAAACCAACCTGCTTGTGACTTTCAACATCAACTTGCAGTACATGTATGTTGTGGAGTTTTCAATTCTTTTGGACCAGGATTTCGCATATTTTTGGTTCGGAATTTATGGGGACAACAAACTTCGGTGGGCCCGTTGCGGAAATTCGATCTGGTTTTTTTTCCGCTCATTTTCCTTGCAGAATTGCCGCAGACTATACAAGGATTTGCAGAATTAGCGCAGAATTTACTGTTTTCAGCCGCAGAATTTCTGATATTCTGCCGCGGAATTCACGGGGGACAGATTAAGAAAAGCCTATCACACTTCTTTTTTTATTTGAAGTAGCACAAACTTATAGGTACCGTCAAGACTCCAAGAGTGCTTCAAAAACAAGAGTATGCAACTGTGTGATCTCTTTTCTATGAGCCAGGTGCGCGGCGCGCTGCCTTCATTACATCATTCAGCTGCAGTCCGCGCACTGGGGAAAATCAAACACCGCACTTTCCCTCTGGTTTGAAATGTTTATGAACTTTTGGTACCGTCCTGTGCAATAGCCCCCCCCCCCCCCCCATCCTTTCATCCCTTGAATGCGAACCTGATTGCTCAAGAATTAGATGGCCCATCAGCATACGTGCCCCCGACTGTTGTGAAATGATGTGGACAAATTTTAATTAAAGGGGAAGTATACCCTAAAATCAAATTTTCACCAGTTGTAGTCTTCGGGGTGCTGAGTCGAATGGTCTTGGTCCGAGGAAGCTGAGACGCTCCCTTCCTCCTTTATTCCCAATCGAACTCGCGCACTTCCACCGAAACTGGGTGACTGCGCCCTACTAGATGGGATTTGTATGCAAAATGTCACTAAAAGCGCCATTTCGTTCTTATAAAAGCACGGATGACCGCCATTGGCCCATATGTTGTAGTCTTTTGGACGCTGAGTCGACTGGTTTTGGTCCGAAAAGGCTGCGATGCAGCGTTCCTCCTTTATTCCCAATCGAACATGGTTGAACAAGCGGTCACGTGCTCCTGCGTACACCAGTCACCTGGTCACCGTGCCTGCAGGGTACAACTTACTAGCCTGTTTGACCTTTTTTGGGTGCAGTCCTGTCACTCGAGTTGAACCTTGGTGTGAAAGTTGTCGCCTGCTGGCGCGGTGACCAGGTGATTTGGGCACCCAGGAGCACGTGACCGCTTGTTCAACCATGTTCGATTGGGAATATAGGAGGAACGCTGCATCGCAGCCTTTTCGGACCAAAACCAGTCAACTCAGCGTCCAAAAGACTACAACATATGGGCCAATGGCGGTCATCCGTGCTTTTATAAGAACGAAATGGCGCTTTTAGTGACATTTTGCATACAAATCCCCATCTAGTAGGGCGCAGTCACCCAGTTTCGGTGGAAGTGCGCGAGTTCGATTGGGATTCAAGTGGGAAGGGAGCGTCGCAGCTTCCTCGGACCAAGACCATTCGACTCAGCACCCAGAAGACTACAACTGGTGAAAATTTGATTTTAGGGTATACTTCCCCTTTAATAATAGAAACACAGAAACGCCTGTCAAAGCGACTGCTCTGAGAAAACAACCCCTGTGCAAAAGGACTAGTGCTGCGGGCACTACCGCATTGCGCGAAATCGCGCATCTATGAGCGACATCCACATAAACTGCTGGGACCATGGTTGTGTACTCGAATCTCATTCTGAGCACCCTTTTTTCTTCCTTTTTTCAGCCGTTTTTTTGCAAAAAGTCCTCGAGCTCGATTTTGTTTGATCGATCGTTCTTCAAGGAGAGACGAGTGGACAATCGATCAACAGGGCCGAGGACGAATGCGTCTGGTTGGAGTTCTTGCGTGGCACAGGATGACCAGACACACATATAGATACATTGCGACGATCTAATCTGCACAGTGTTTCCTAATACCGCACGCACGACGGTAAGTACAATTCATGTGATTTCAAATTGTTTGTGATCTACAACGTCGCGAGCAGGACGGAAATACAGCAACAGCACGACAACCGTTATACCAGGCAGTAACCAACAGTCACCTCAGTCACATTCTCCAGATCAGAAGGCAAGTGAGGCAGTGAACATGAAGAAATAAAGTATGAAAGAATGAAAAGTGAATAATTCAAAAATCTCGGAAACGTTGAACGTAAAAAACACTGAGAACAAGAAAAGTGACTTACTTCGATGGCAAAAGACAAAGCGAATGTTCCTCGTATGGACCTGGCTCTTGCGGAATCAGCCACACTGTGGAACCATGTGTTTGATTCCACAAGGGATAGCTACCTGCTCCTCACCAACCAGCCTCCACGACGGTGGTAAAGTCGCCAAAAATACGAAAGTTGAACATTTTGTGCATGCATGCAATAGAAAATTTGTGCTGAGTATGTCGAGTGGCCATTCGCACAGGACAAAGCCGTTGCGCAAGCTGTGACCCTGAAATTTCGTCCATTGGTAGCGAGGGTAACCCTGAGCTGGAAAGTGTAAGGGATGGCGTGCTACACTCCCCCGCATACGCTTGACAGCACGATTGGAGTCGTGGAGTAGTAATATACCAGTATCTTACTACCCCCTGATACCTGATGCATGGACGTCGTCATCTTCATCCCGCAGATCGAAAATGTACAGGTGTCGCGTGATTTCGCGCAATGAGCTACGACCCAGGGATGTATAATTCCAGTCAAATGACCGTGCATGGATAAGATGCGGACAACCTGTACAGAGGGACAGCATTTGTATGGTCCCTTGAGCGGTTGGCTTACACCGGTTTTACTGTGCGAGCTGGTTTGACGCCCTGCCTGCTTTGAATAGGGCATACAGGCCACAGATCGGCTTCTACAAGAACACGCCCGCATGCATACAACACACCATGCGCCATTCACATAATACCGTCCAGTAACTCACGTCTGTTTCTTCACTATAATAGAATCAGTCATAACTTACACTGGGCAACCGAGATCAATTCCTGAATTGAAACCGTGACTAGTGAGATGTGACCGGGATTCATGATACATGTGCTAAAAACTGCTAATAATTATAAAACGCGGATTGGGGCTTGATTGCGTGAAACTCGGATATTGAGCCAACAGTAATTATGTAAAGAGAAAAGGACCAGTCCTATAAGTTATGACTAACACCAAGGTAACGACATAATCATACAGTCAGATAGTGTTACAAGGCACACAACTGAGAAGGATATTGAGACATTGGATGACCGGACACCTAGCTCCAACACAGCTAGCTATGATCTGTATATTCTCGGGGAAAAAAGAAAAGCGAAGCAAGCAATGGGAACACAGTGGTGGGCATCGTGATCATGGTGATGCACGGGCATCCAAATGTATGGGGTGCGTCCAAATGGATGGTGGGTATCCAAATGTATGGTGGGCATCCACATGTATAGTGGGTATCCAAATGCACAGGGGGCATTCAAATGTATGGCCGGTGAGAATCCAAAATACGGTGAGCGTCCAAAAGTATAGTGGGCATGCAAATGTATGGTAGGGTTCCAAAAGTATGGTGGGCATCCAAATTTACATGTACATGTATGGTGTTTGAAGAAGGGCTGAGGCTTCCTGCAGCTTCATCTGTGAAAAGAATTCGGGTGGACACACCCATTCCCATAGCGCTGCACATCACATCCGAACCAGTTCCGTTATTTTTACAACGTTTCGGCACTTGGCCATCGTCAGTGTATGGTGGGTGCCCAAATGTATGGCAGGCATGCAAATTTACAGTAGGTATCCAAAAGTATGGTGGGCATCCAAATGTATGGTGGGTATCCAAATGGATGGTGGGTGCCCAAATGTATGGCAGGCATGCACATGTACAGTAGGTATCCAAAAGTATGGTGGGCATCCAAATGTATGGTGGGTATCCAAATGTATGGTGAGCATCCAAAAGTATGGTGGGTATCCAAAAGTATGGTGGGCATCCAAATATATGGTGGGCATCCAAATGTATGGTGTGCATCCAAATGTATGGTGGGCATCCAAATGTATGGTGAGCATCCAAATGTATGGTGGGTATCCAAAAGTATGGTGGGCATCCAAATGTATGGTGGGTATCCAAAAGTATGGTGGGCATCCAAATGTATGGTGGGTATCCAAAAGTATGGTGGGCATCCAAATGTATGGTGAGCATCCAAATGTATGGTGTGTATCCAAAGGTATGGTGGGCATCCAAATGTATGGTGGGTATCCAAATGTATGGAAGGTATCCAAATGTATGGTGAGCATCCAAATGT